TTTTTTTTTTTTTTTTTTTTTTTTTTGAGGCAGGGATTTGCTCTGTCACCCAGGCAAGAGTGCTGTGGTACAATCACAGCTCACTGCAGCCTCAACTCCCAGGCTCAGTCAATCTATTCTCCAACCTCAGCCTCCCGAGTAGTTGGGACTACAGGTGTGCACCACCATGCCTGGCTAATTTTTGTATTTTTTTGTAGAGATGGGGTTTCACCATGTTGGCCAGGTTGGTCTTGAACTAGATCGTTCTTTACAACCAGGAGACTTGTGCTTTTTCCACTTTTTTCTCTGGGTCTTTCTACTGGTGCCAGGAGGTGGGATGACTCCCTGGGTTGACCCTGGATCATCCACTAGTCTCTTACTGTTCTTCCCACCTCAGGGCTGAACATGGGCCCAGTTGTGGCAGGTGTCATCGGGGCCCGGAAGCCGCAGTATGACATCTGGGGGAACACAGTGAATGTCTCTAGCCGTATGGACAGCACGGGGGTCCCCGACCGAATCCAGGTGAGGGGAATATGAGCAGGGGCTGGGAGGAGAATGGGCCCGGAGGGCTTCCATAGGTGTCTCTGTGGTCTGCTAGGACAGGGGTAGGGTGGCTAGTATTCTGTGTTTGGTGGGGCAGGGTTGGGGGAAGGGAGCTACCCTGGGCCCCTGCAAATGCAGCAGGAAGGATTCCAGGCTAAGCAGGCTCCCCTCCCACTCCCCCAGGTGACCACGGACCTGTACCAGGTTCTAGCTGCCAAGGGCTACCAGCTGGAGTGTCGAGGGGTGGTCAAGGTGAAGGGCAAGGGGGAGATGACCACCTACTTCCTCAATGGGGGCCCCAGCAGTTAGCAGGGCCCAGCCACAAATTCAGCTGAAGGGACCAAGGTGGGCATTGAGAGGACTCTGTGCTCGCTGGGTGGAGCTGTGGCAGGGGGCACTGGGCCTCTAGACCCTGCTAACCACAAAAGGGAACACCACAGCAGGCTGTGCTTGGATTATGCTCTACTGCCCTCAAGCTGGTGAACAAGGGGCTACCTACCAAGAGGATTATTGCAAGTGACTTTCTTTCTTAATTGGGGCAGGGCTGCTCCCTCTCCAATCTTCCAGCTTTTGGGAGCAGGGGAGGGGTCAGTAACAGAAGCAGAGGGAGCTCTCTTGCCTGAGGGATTAAAATGGCAGCTTGCCATGCCTATCCCTTCCCTGTCTGTCTGGGCAGCAGGTTCAGGGCTGGGCCCTTCTTTTCCCTCTTTTTTCCTGGGAATATTTTGTACAATATTTTGTACAAAGATAGGCATGAGGAGTGCCTATTCCATGCTTGCCTTTGCAATACCTGCATCCCCAGCACTGGTCTTGGGCACTTCCCCACCCCAGCCAGGTGTCCCTCCTAAGCACAGGGCAAAGGAGGGAGATGCTCTGGGGAGCCAGCTCTGGCCATATTTCAGGAGAATGTTTCCATGTGCCAAATCGTAGTCCCATGATCTGTCCCCAAAGGGGAACAAAGGGACCTCTGACAGCTTAGATTTAGCCCCAGTTCCTGCACGCTCCAGGGAACGAGGTGTCTGGCCTCACTGGTACTGTGAAAATGCTCAGAGCGCAATCCTGTGTGTGGGGATGTCAGGTCAGGAGCTGGAAGTTCACCTGTAGGTGCCAAAGAACAGGCCGGCCAGGGCTAGGGCAGTGCCAGACTCTGATCTAAGGACCCCAAAGGGGTGCTGATCAGGTCACTCTGCCCCAGTGCTCTCTTGCTGTCTGCTGGCAAGGGGCCATGGAGCATCTCTCCCTCTTCTGTTGCCAAATAGAAAAGGGTCAGGGCATGGAGAAAGATGACCCTGAGCCCAAACCTGCCCTCCCAAGTCTCGCGTTGGGGAGGGCCTGTGTGTTTGTGTAACTGTGTGTGCATGTTGGTCTTTGTGTGCATATCTGTTTTCCAGGTCTGTGTGAGTCCTTGTGCTCCTGCTCCTCAGCTCTCCACCCCAGGTCGCCTCTCTCCTGTGGGCCTCTGTCTTCTGGGAATAAAGCAGGGTTTCCTATTCCAGGGGCTGTAGAGAGATGCCCAGGTTGCACAGGAGTGGGATGGGGTGTGGTAGCAAAAGGAGGGAGAGGAGTCCTTTTTGTGCCAAATCCCTAAGTGCCGTTTGGGGCCATGTGTGCAGCGTGACTCCCCCTGCCTGTGGCAGGGACCTAAGCACTTGCTTGAGCCCCAGTGCTCCATGCAGCACTTGAACTGTCTGGGGTTTGGTGGACAGAGGCTCAGGAATTTCCTGGGTTCCCCAGATAGTGTCCTGGGACATGGTTTGCTTTGGGGCTAGGGTAGCATGGGATCCCTCTGAGGACCCAGATACTGGTACTAGGGACTGGGGAAGGGGAACCTTAAACTTGGCTTTTCCCAGCCTTCATCCTGATTCTAGCATGTTTCTGGCTCCCAGGCCCTTGTGAAGCCTTGAGGGCTGGCAGAATGGTTAGGAAGTTGAACTCTAGATTCCCTTCCTATCTTTGCCTTCCTTCCTTTCCCTGCAGCCTCCTTGATTCTGGCCTGAATTTGGTTGTGCCTCAGTTTCTCTGTCTATATCTATTTAAGCCAAAGGCACTAGCCTGAATTTTGCTTGAAGATCACTTTGTCTCGGAAATGACTAGAGAGGCAGAGGAGAAGGGTTTCCAGAGTTGCTGGGTTTGGGAGTGGAAGGGGCAGGCAGTGCACTTGCCCTTCTTCATGCATCTTCTGATACCAGCTCCCTGTGGAGGCCTAGTTTCTGGGTACCACCTCCCTTGGGCATCTTCATGCACCAACCAAATGGGCCATCAGGTACTTCATTAGTCATGGCAGAAGAGGGGAAAAGACTTGTTAACAGACAGAAAATCTGCTCCCCTGCCCCCAGCCATATCCCTGGATAGGAAGGGATAGGAAGAGACTACTTGGTGCCATGAGGTAGGGGTGAGGGTGTAAGTAGATCAGAGTGGGAAGACCTCAGCCTTGGGTGGCTTGTCTCTGCTTCTTGCCAGGTGGGAGGGCCTGTCCACATCCTGGCTCCCTGTACCACAGTGCCAGCCATGCCCTTCCCCTGGGCTACCATTGCCCCTTTCCTCACCAGTTGGTGGAGGAGTCAGGAGATGGGAGGCCATGGGCTTTGGTTTTATAATGTAACCACTGTGGGAGGGGGGAGGATGGTGTACCATGTATTTCAGTGAAATATTTAATATATTTAAATATCAATAAAATCAAACTCTTTGTAAAATTCCCTGTTCTGTGTAGCTGTTCTGGGCCCTGGGTGGGTCAGAAGTGACAGAGCCTGATGTAGAAGGCAACCTCCTGCCCCAGGGCTCTGTGGGCCTCTCGTCTGTGGTCAGAGGACTTCCTGTGGCTTTCTCCTTGCTAAGGAGAAGCTGCAGTATCTTCAGAGTGTGACTACTCAAGGCCTTTCAGCATCATGAGCTCCAGTGTGTGCCTTCCCAGATTTATTACGCTGACCCCTGCTATGCATGAGGCCCGAGGTTCTTTCCAGTGCCTTGGCCCCTTGCAGACCTCTCACTCCAAGGTCTGGCTCATTCAGGAATCTCTCCCAAACCACCTCTCACAACAACCTGGGCACTGGAATCACCCCACCCTCACCCCACAACTCCCCCAGTGCACACAAGCAACTTTTAGTCCAATCTGTTTACTCTGCTTTCTCCACCACCTCCTCCCATTAGTCAGCCATCAGAACTGGGAAACCCCCTTCTTTCCTTCTCTTTAAACTCTTTCAACAATTCATCTTGTCTTTCTGCAGCCGCATCTTATTAATATAGACCGAAGGTTCTGTCATTGAGAATAGAGTGATCCATAAACCTAGAAAGAAGAGATTCAGAGAGAAATTCAGCCAGGCCAGGCTGGAGGGCAGGAAATCCTTAAAAATAGCTCCTAAGAGGCCAGGCGCGGTGGCTCATGCCTGTAATCCCAGCACTTTGGGAGGCCAAGGCAGGCAGATCACCTGAGGTCAGGAGTTCAAGACTAGCCTGGCCAACATGGTGAAACCCTGTTTCTACTAAAAATACAAAAATTAGCCGGGCGTGGTGGTGGGCACTTGTAATCCCAGCTACTTGGGAGGCTGAGGCAGGAGAATCACGTGAACGCCCAGGTGGCAGAGGTTGCAGTGAGCAGAGATTCTGCCCCACCCCCCCCGGGGTGGGGGCAGGGGAACCCCCCACCAAAACAAAAAAAAAAAAAAAAAAAAAAAGCTCCCAAGACTGCCTCAGGGCAGAATGAGTAGGTATAGTGATGAAAAAGTAGGGCTGCTGCTGGGCGCCCTGGCTCACACCTGTAATCCCAGCACTTTGGGAGGCCCAGGCTGGTGGATTGCCTGAGGTCAGGAGTTCGAGACTAGCTTGGCCAACATGGTGAAACCCTGTCTTTATAACAAAAAATAAAAAATTAAAAAAAAAAAAAAAGTAGGGCTGCTGCCAATGGGTAATTTGAGGGGTGTAGAGGTAGTGAGGAAGGCAGCACTGGGCTGCCACAGGAATACTATGGACACTTGTTTTGCACCAGCTCAGAAGTCACACCCACAAAGAGAAACACAAAGACAAATCTATAACTCCTTTGAATGCATCATGGCCCAACTTCTGGGGCCAGTTTTCTCTGATAAGACTCAAATCTCTCCTTCTATTTCCCTAACCTGACCAGAGATGAAATAGTCACTATTTAAGGGAAGGGAAGGAGTACTTCCCTTCAACTCCCCACGTTTTCCCCTCCCAGCCTAACCTGGTCATCGCGCTTTTTATGAGACAGTGTCGTGGGCCCCGGATCCATGGCATGATTTCCTCTGGACGTACTCCTGGATCATGGGAACGCCAGAAGCTGAAGTTCTGAGCGTCAGTCAAGGGGACTCTGAAGACCTGATTGGGAACTGAATGGGTGGGGGGAAGGGCAGGTTATCTAATTCCTTCAAGTTCTCTGCTCACTTTCCTGCCTCAGGGCAGCAATAGCCCAGCCCAGCCCAGCCCAGCAACTGCTGGGCCTGACCAGGTGCTGAGAGGTCCTGGGAGTGTGGTCACCACACCCTGCTTCACTTCCGGATTCCAGCATCTCACACCCTTCATGGTCAAATGACTGTCTTGGTTCTTCCTGCTGCTAGTAAGCCCATCTCCAAGAGAGCTTTCTCCAAGTGCTAAGATGGTAGAAAAACAAGTGGCCCACCCACTTGGGAAATGTGTAAAAATAATAGGTCCACTGATCTATTATTTTTCTTTTTTCTTGGCTTTTTTCTTTCTTTTTTCTTTTCTTTTCTTTTTTCTTGGCTTTTTTCTTTCTTTCTGTTCCCTCCTCTTGGAAAAAAATGCCTTCCTTTGCTCACTTCAGGTAATTCTCTGAAACCTAACTGATACCACCTCACATTTAGATGCTATTAATAGATGTCATTTATCTAGTGTCTATCATGTTCTAGATGTGGTATTAAATATTTTTTAAATTTTTTGAAATAATATCAGATTCAGGTGCTGTTTGAAAAAGTACTTTTGGCCAGGTGTGGTGACTCATGCCTGTAATCCCAGTACTTTGGGAGGCCAAGGCAGGCGGATTACTTGAGATCAGGAGTTTGAGACCAGCCTGGCCAACATGGTGAAACCCCATCTCTACTAAAAATACAAAAATTAATCGGGCATGGTGGCAGACACGTGTAATCCCAGCAACTTGGGAGGTTGAGGCAGGAGAATTGCTCGAACCCGAGAAGCAGAGGTTGCAGTGAGCTGACATTGTGCCACTGTACTCCAGCCAGGGCAGCAAGACTGTATCTCAAAAAAAAAAAAAAGGAAAGAAAAAGGTATTTTTGGCCGGGCGCTATGGCTCATGCCTGTAATCCTAGCACTTTGGGAGGCCGAGGTGGGTGGATCACCTGAGGTCGGGAGTTCAAGACCAGCCTAGCCATCATGGTGAAACCCCATCTTTAAAAAAAAAGAAAAAGAGCCGGGCGCGGTGGCTCACGCCTGTAATCCCAGCACTTTGGGAGGCAGAGGCGGGTGGATCACGAGGTCAACAGATTGAGACCATCCTGGTCAACATGGTGAAACCCCGTCTCTACTAAAACTACAAAAAAAAAAAATTAGCTGGGCATGGTGGCGCGTGCCTGTAATCCCAGCTACTCAGGAGGCTGAGGCAGGAGAATTGCCTGAACCCAGGAGGCGGAGGTTGTGGTGAGCTGAGATCGCACCATTGCACTCCAGCCTGGGTGACAAGAGCGAAACTCTGTCTCAAAAAAAAAAAAAAGAAAAAGAAAAA